TAGGCAATAGTACTAAATTTCAGTGTCACTATGTCATGCAAATCAAGATCATAAATGAATGTGATTTATTTATGGAAGCATCCTGTCCTTTGTGCTAGTAAGTTTTTTGTTTTTTGGAGACAGAGTTTCTCTCTTGTTGGCCAGGCTGACGTGCAAATGGTACAATCTTGGCCCACCACAACCTCTGCCTCAAGTGATTCTCCTGCCTCAGCTTCCTGAGTAGCTGGGATTACAGGCAGGCCCCACCATGCCTGGCTGATTTCCATATTTTTAATAGAGATGGGGCTTCTCCATGTTGGTGAGGCTAGTCTCCAACTCCTGACCTCAGGTGATCTGCCCACCTTGGCCTCCCAAAGTGCTAGGATTACAGGAGTGAACCACTGTGCCTGGCCACTTGTTCTTCTTTATCAGCATCATTGAGGAATAAAGGAAACAGAGAAGACCAGGGCAGTGCCAGATCCTGCCAGAAGATTCCTTAGTTTTTATTTTGCCTTTTCAAAATTAGCCTCTGGAGACACTCTCCTGCTTTAATATTCACTGACATTTCTTTATATTTGTTCACTCAGTTCTTCCAAATACTACTGTGATGATATTTTATAATCAAATAGCTAGAAAATATTCCTTGCCAGCCAAAAAAGACTATCTAATTTCAGAATGCATAAATGCATCCCCTCTCAAGTATGTGCATGCTTATTTTGAAATAATTTTAGATTTACAGAAGAGTTGCGAAAATAGTATAGAGTTCTTATATACTCTTCAGCCATTCTCACCTAATGTTACCATCTTACATAATCATGGTTCTAGTACTACTGTTCACCCTACCATACCATCCCTGTGGTCACTAGTCATGCTCAGTATGTTTGTTTTCCCTTCCAGGTCTACATTCCACCTTCCATAACCCTCTTACACATCCCAGAAGGCTGACCAGCACGTACTGCATCAGAGAACTCCCTTGCACTCTAGCTCCCCACTGGGATCAACCAATCAAAGCAGCAGGAGACTGGAGGGCAGGGTGTTTATCACACACCCAACCAACCCCCTGACACCTTGCAAGAGCATCTCTTTACCAAGGGCTCCAGGAGAAGCCCCTGCTTCCTCTGTTCAGCTGTAGCTACGTTACCTGGTTCCCACCTTCCATCCCCTGCCCCTTCAGGCTTAGGATTAGTAATACCTCTGCCTTCATTAGACCTCGGTTTCTTCACCACCCTTGGTTCTTTCCTTAACCCTCCCTATACCATTTAAAATAATTCCTGGGCCGGGCGCGGTGGCTCACGCCTGTAATCCCAGCACTTTGGGAGGCCGAGGCGGGTGGATCACGAGGTCAAGAGACTGAGACCATCCTGGTCAACATGGTGAAACTCTGTCTCTACTAAAAATACAAAAAATTAGCTGGGCAAGGTAGCACATGCCTGTAATCCCAGCTACTCAGGAGGCTGAGGCAGGAGAATTGCCTGAACCCAGGAGGCGGAGGTTGCGGTGAGCCGAGATTGCGCCATTGCACTCCAGCCTGGGTAACAAGAGCGAAACTCCGTCTCCAAAAAAAAAAACAAAAAACAAAAAAAATTCCTTTATATTCTGTTCAAACCTCCAATTGGCTGTGCTATCTGATTTTCTCCAGGGACAATGACTAACAACCTAATAAAATTAATATTATCTTAAAATCTACTTTTTCAAAGGGAACATACCCTCCCACTCACCTCTCCCCACCACACATACACAAAGTAAAAGTTGTTTACATAAATGTTTCTTCCAAGAGGAATTCCAGACCACATCACTTAAAAGCCCAAGTTCATGACTCAGGGACTGAAATCAGACCACGCCTCTACCTAGATCAAGAGTCAAGGAAATGCTTGCATTTCCAATAATAACATTGCTAACAAGATGTCATCTATATATGAAAATGACTAGTGATCACCAATAGGCTTGAATGGGAAGCTGGTGCTGAGCTACCCCTACTCACCACTGGTGCACCATTAGCTGATACCCAGGCTGACCTTTAGAGTGCTTTGGCTAGAAACTGTCATTTCAGCTACAGAAACAATCTCTAATTAGGATTTTAGATCACCATTTAGTTTTAAATTTTGAAGTACAATAGAATGAATATAGGTATAAATATGGATAACTGTTTTGTTTTGTTTTGGAGACAAGGTCTTATTCTGTTGCTGAGGCTGGAGTGCATATTATATATATATGCTCATGTGATTACAGCTCACCACAGCCTCTACATCCTCGGCTCAAGCAATCCTCCCACCTCAACCTCCTGAGTAGCTAGGACTACAAGTGCATGCCATTGCACACAGCTAATTTTTAAATTTTCATAGAGACAGGATTTTGCTGTTTTGCAGGCTGCTGTCAAAGTCCTGAACTCAGGCAATCCTCCTGCCTTGGCCTCCCAAAGCTCTGGGATTACAAGGGTGAGTCATCATGCCTGGTGGATAATAGGTATGTTTTTAAGAGGAGAGGGATATGAGACATTCCAGACAATTTCAGCCCGACAACTGGATTCAGTAGTTATCAGGTTCAGGTCAGTGTAGGATGAAACAAGTCTCAAATTCTATACCCAGCTTCTTGAATCAGGTTCTTCACCTATCCAACTCTTTTCTAATAGATGATGAAAATGAAATGTCAATCAGGTACCTGTAGCATCCACCCTGACAAAGAGTAAATGACCCAGGAGATTTCAAGATCTAAGAGGACAAAGTCAAAGCCAAAGGACCAGCGATGGGAATCTCACAGGTTATGATTTGGTCTTCTATCATAAGTTGCTATCTTTATAGAAAAGACTAGGTTTCTTGAATGATGCCAAATGTAAAGACAGCAAATTATGAAATTATGACAGAAGACCTAATCCTAACCCATGAGATTCCCATCACTGGTCCCCCAGTTAGCATGCTCCTAGAATATCGAAGTCCTCACCCATAAAACCTTAAGCTGACAGTTGAATTCCTCTCCCACTCGCCCTCCCAAACACAGATTTTATTTTTTTATGTCTCCTATAGGATTATATAATATTCTACATTTGCTCTATGAATTTTATACACATCAAGCTAAAATCTGAAAGTTTCTTAGCATTTCTACTGTGAAGCAGAAAAACAAAGCTTTCATTGGATGAGAAAAAATTATGTCTAACAGAAAATGTGGAAAAACATTTTTAAATGCCAACATCATAATTTTTTTTTTCCTTTTAGAATATTTGCCTGCTCTTGTACAACAATTGCTAACTACAGAGGAACGTGAGCAACGATTTGGTTCTGCTTGCTGTTGCAAATGAAATGTGGCCACCCACAGGCACTTTTATTCTTTTTCTTTTAAGTCAGAGTCCACTGCCATAATTCCAAAAAGCAACACATGGTATATTTTACTTTTGAAATTTATTCCAGGTGAGAGGACACTCACAGTCTAACAAAATAAACATAGAATTAAATCACATTCCCAAAGGCCAATTCTTCTTCCTTGCCAAGACAGGGTAAGATAGAGATACCAGACTTGGTCTGTATTAGTTTCTCCACATAGTCTATCCCTTTCTTCTTCTAAACCCCATCTACAAACCCCAACAAATGAGAGACATTTATAACAGCAAGACTACATCTATTTCTCACAAAATGCCTGAGATGGATATAGCCAAGGTTGAAAGTATAGAAGGAGATTAGGAAATATAAGCAGGGTTTTTAATGATAAACTTCTATCTTTGTTGGAAGGAAAGGGGGGTTGATGGATCAGTATGAAGAAGAAAAACAGAGAAGAGTTTAATTTACCTTGAAAATAACTACAATTCTATTGTCCAGGCCCAGTGAAAATTTGTGTGAAGCAATTTCATTCATTTCACAGTGCCTAACACATTGCTGACTGTGTGGTAAATATTAAACAAGTACTTGTTGGTTGATGAAACAGATACATGGAAATACTGTATATACACAGGAAGCAGAAACTCAATGTGGTCAGGCAAATTTGAAAGCAAGGCAAGGTTTGGTTCTCCGTGTCAATATTTTCAAGTTACACACTGGGGCAACAAACGAAATAAAATTCTGCCACATTCATAGTTCAACATGTTGTTCCTCTTTGACTGCTAAAACCTTATAAGTAAAAAAGGAAAGCTAGGATTAAGTAAAACTAATTTAAATTAAATGTACACAAAATAAAGATAAGTCATTTTATTGCTTAGTATTTCTTCTTGCATTTAAAAGGTGGCTTGCAAAGGTGGCTTACATTTGTAATAGCAATACACCACTTGAAATCTTAAACACATAAGCACCTAATTTGCTAGACTGAAGCTAGCCTTGAACTTTTAGTGATGCCATATGCTTTTAAATTAACCCTTCTAAACACTGTACGAATCTTATAACACAGACTGTGAGCTTATAACTGAATTAGATTACTACTAAATACTCATCAGGCAAACTCAAGAAAATAAAGAAAACATGCATATTCTTACAGCTCCATAGAAGCCAAAATTAAAGATGGTGTTATAAGAATTTGAGATTAAACAACTATAATTTGGCTGTAAGATCTCCATGACCTACACATTAAGTTTAACTAAAATCTCTAAGGACCCTTTTCTTTGGAAAAGAATCATACATTTTAAAATAGTCTTTAATGAACAGTCTATTAAAATCACAATGGATCATAGCTGTCAACTTCAAATAGTGCCTTTCTTCTAGAGGGCTTAAGTTTATACACTGGTGCAACCCCACAAATGCAGATGCTACAAAGGGAGCTATAAAGAAAAACAAATTTTATTCACAGCCCTCTGCATACAAACTTTTCCTTCTGCAGACTTGTGTGGAGTTGAAAATAAAGGATGCTAATATGCACATTATGTAGCACATCAAAAAAAAAAAAAAAAAAGAGAGAGAGAACACTTTAGTTGAGTGGAAATTCATCCATCTACTGAAAATCTGGGAGAATTCACATATACTGTACTCCAAATTTAACCAAGTGCAGAAAAAATACTATATGAAATGGAAAAATAATTAAATATTATTTAATCAACAGCTGATTACCTTTAAAATTTTGGGCTTCTTTTCCCTCTGGGGCCTCTTGTTTTCCTTTATAACCTAAAAAAAATCAAATTGCAAAATGAGCCTCTGTTTAAGAAATAAAATTAGCTCCCACATCCCCAAAATTTTTGGCTATTTTTCTGTAAAACTATACCACTTAAAATCATCAACATGTTTGCTAGGCAGAACTTAAAGAGCTTATGTAAAATGTATACTTTAAAAGTCACTGAAAAAAAATCTTGCATAAAGATGAAGTAGGGAAATACCCTTTTTTCCCCTTAAAGTCTGTCTTAATTAGCCTCTGCATTCTTCACAGCGAAGCCCACGAGGTAGCCATCTTGCTTGCTTCTGCAGAGGAAGCCTCTACAGTGGAACAGTTCTGCAAACTGCTTTTTGGTATTATTATCATGGTGTTTAAAGGCAGCCCTGGCCTGCCAGCACTGTAGACGTGCTGGGCATGCCTTTTGCAAAAACAGCCCCACAAAGAGTGCAGCCAATGGCAATGCAGAGCTTAGCAACTCCAAAGTGATCTTCTCAGCCTAGCCCTTCCTAGACAAAGGATCTCCTGTGCGGCTCGGCTCTCACCACAGGACACAGGCAGCCACAAGCTGCGACATGGAGTTCGCTGTAGAGGATCTGGTCGCGCCGAAATCACAGGAGGCTTCAGCAAAAACAATGCACACAAATCCCCCAGGTCACCACCATTGGATCGATGGCAGAGCCTCCCTGATTAGTAACCTCTTGGCGGCTCCGAGGGCAGGTCTCCATGGGGGAGGGGTACGCTGCTCTGCCTCCAATGTACAGGAGACATAACCGAGCCTGGGGGGCATTTGGGCTTCCTGAAACTCTGGAAGGTATTGTGCATTTTTACTTTATAAGGCAAGGCTAAATATTGGCGATATTTAAGGCAGGGAGGTTATGTGAGGACAGTGTAGGCTCAGCTGTTGGGCTGCCTGTCTCATTCCTCGGGAACCACACCTCTTTGCAGCAGGCGCTTTGCCCAGAAACACAGCAATTTGATTTCTGTCAATAAATGTCCAATGAAAATGGCGAATTAAAAAATAACAATAAAACCACTGAAAAGGAAAAGGACGGGATGAGGACAAAAATGAGGGGGAGGAGTTTTCAAAATACACTTGCCACCCTGAGTGACTAGAGTGAAAGAATTTTCTCTCTTGCTCTGGGCATTTCCGATGACCTTCATTTCCCAATAAAATTCCTTCCCTACCAGAAGGAAAATTTGGAGTCATATCTTTGGGATAAAATGACACCTTTGGCTCTTCTGTCTCCCAAAATCAACTGTCACTGAGCATCTATCCACCGACCTGCCAAGCAAGTACCCATGTGGGGCCGGTCTGTGCACCAGACTTGCGGTCAGACAGAGCCACCCACTTCCTAGGGATCGGGACCTGAGCCAGGGGTAGAACAAGCCACCATTTCCTCACACACACCTGGACTGCCCCCACACCAGTGGGTGGTAGTCAGTGGGACAGCTGGCACCACAGCTGGCACCTGCCAGACACTGAGAAAGGCAGGACCAGGAGCTGTGCCCACACTACCTTTCTTAGCCGCCTGGCATTGCAAGTGGCAGCAGAGCAGGGCAGCTGCAGTGAGCTGGCTGGTCTCAAGGTCACTGCCAAAATGCAGTGCAGAGGGCGGTCACAGTCCCATCACTGCCACCTTAACAGCTGCACAGATCTGGGGAAGACAGCCCTAGATCCAGCCTTGCAGGGCCAAAGTTTCAGCAGCACATTTGGGGGATTGGCAGGAGGGCCTCCTTGGCTGCTCAGCCAAAGACGGGTTTTCCACTTGCAGTTGGATTCAGAACAGATTCCCACAACCAGAAATCAGGAACAGACTGAGGGCCGGAAGGCCTGCATTTCATCACCCTTAATTCCCAGCCTTTCAGTTTGCCACAAAAGCACGCTTTCCTTGTTGGAACGTGAAGTCCAGCATGCATTGTTTTTCAACTTTTAAACTACCTCTCACAACCCACGCTCCCCAAATTTTTAACAAATGCATGTAAGAAAAAAAACTACTGGCCAGGGATGGTGGCTCAAGCCTGTAATCCTAGCACTTTGGGAGGCTGAGGTGGCCGAATCACCTGAGGTCAGGAGTTCAAGACCAGCCTGGCCAACATGGTAAAACCCCATCTCTACTAAAATACAAAAATTAGCCAGGCACAATGGTGGATGCCTGCAATCCCAGCTACTCGGGAGGCTGAGACAGGAGAATCGCTTGAACCCAGAAGACACTGGTTGCAGTGAACTGAGATTGTGCCACTGCACTCTAGCCTGGGCAGCTGAGCAAGATTCCATCTCAAAAAAAAAAAAGCTAATGAATATGGTGATCTCAACTCTTCCTTCAATGTTTGTAACAAAACCAATGGACTCTGACTTATGCATATCCAACAGTGCAACTTTGAACACACTAAGCCCACACTATCTCTGAGAAGTTCTGTTTGAGGAATGAAGCAGCATTGAAACAGGCAGAAAAATGATCAAATACAGTAAGATTTGAAAATGGGTACAAAACCTTTTAACTGTACACACCCCCTTTATTGGTGATTTTTTTGTTTGTTTTTTGAGATGGAATCTCTCTCTGTCACCCAGGCTGGAGTGAAGTGTTGTGATCTTGGCTCACTGCAACCTCCGCCTCCCAGGGTCAATTAATTCCCTGCCTCAGTGTCTCGAGTAGCTGGGATTGCAGGCCCCACCACCACTCCCAGCTAATAATTTTTTATATTTTTAGAAGACATGGGATTTTACCATCTTGGCCAGGCTGGTCTTGAACTCCTGACCTCGTGATCCACCTGCCTGGGCCTCCCAAAGTGGTGGGATTACAGGATTGAGCCATCGAGAGCAGTTTTTTTGGTGATTTTTTTTTTTTTGAGACAGAGTCTGGAACTCTCACCCTGGCTGGAGTGCAATTATCTCCACTCACTGGAACCTTTGCCTCCTGGGTTCAAGCGATTCTCTTGCCTCAGCCTCCCAAGCAGCTAGGATTACAACAGCTGCCTGCCACCATGACTAAGTTTTTGTATTTTTAGTAGAGATGGGGTTTCACTATATTAGCAGGCTGGTTTCAATCTCCTCACCTCATGACCCATCCGCCTCAGCCTCCCAAAGTGCTGGGATTACAAGCATGAGCCACCGTGTCTGGCCTTTTTTGGTGACTTTTTAAAAATTGTGGTAAAATATACATAACACAAATTTATTATTTTAACTTTTTTTTTTTTTTTTTTGAGATGGAGTTTTATTCTTGTTGCCCAGGCTGGAGTGCAATGGTGGCTCTTGGCTCACTGCAACCTCTGCCTCCTGGGTTCAAGTGATTCTCCTGCCTCAGCCTCCTGAGTAGCAGGATTACAGGGACCCATCACCACCCCCAGCTAATTTTTGTATTTTTAGTGGAGACATAATGGGTTTTGCCATATTGGCCATGTTGTTCTCGAACTCCTGACTTCAGGTGATCTGCCCACCTTGGCCTTCTAAAATGCTGAAATTACAGGCAGGGTAAGGCACTGCATCTGGCCTCATTTTAACTATTTTTAAGTGTATAGCTCAGTGACATTAAATACATTCACAATGCTGTGCAACTATCACCTCTCGATTTCCAGGACTTTTTCCTCCTTGTAAACAGAAACTCTATCCCCATTAAACAGCTCCTCATTTGCCTTCCCAAGCCCATACTAACTTCCATTCTACTTTGTCTATACAATGGACTACTGTTAAGTACCTCCTATAAGTGGAATCAGATAGAATTTTTCTTTTCCTGTCTGTTAACTTCACTTGTTAATAGCATAATGTTTACAAGGTTAATCTGTGTTGCAGAATGTATCAAAATTTCATTCATTTGGAAGGCTGGACAATATTCCTTTGTAGGTACATAACACATTTTGTTTATCCATTATTCTGTTGTTAGACATGGGTTGTTTCTACCTTTTGGCGACTGTGAATATTTCTTCTATGAACATGGGTGTACAAGTAGGTATACAAGTAATATATACCTTGGAGTAGAATTGCTGGATCATATGATAAGGCTATATGTTTAACTTTTTGAGGAACTACCAAATTTTTCCCATAGCAGCCGCACCATTTTACAATCCCATCAATCATGTACAAGGATAGCCCTACATTTCTTGAAGTGCCTTGCATTTCAATTACACATTATGCCTCTTCTCTTGAATGATCGAATATAAATTTTAAAACATCAACATTTTTTCCAGGTTAATTATTCAATATTTAGTAAAGTGGCCATGATATATAATTATATAATTTAAATCAGTCAGCCAGGTGCAATGGCTCACGCCTGTAATCTTAGCATTTTGGGAGGCTGAGGTGGGTGGATCACTTCAGATCAGGAGTTCGAGACCAGCCTGGCCAACATGGTGAAACCCAGTCTCTACTAAAAATACAAAAATTAGCCAGGTGTGGTGGCACACACGTATAGTCCCAGCTACTATGGAGGCTGAGGCAGGAGGATTACTTGAACCTGGGAAGTGGAGGTTGTTCAGTAAACAGAGATTGTGCTACTGCACTCCAGCCTGGGCGACAGAGTAAGACTCTGCCTCAAAAAAAAAAAAAAGTCAATCCATTAGCTGTGTGATCACTAAAATAAAATAAAATCAGGCTCACAGGGTTAGGTGGTTAGGTGTACTGATTATCTACATTGTTGAGAGGTCTATTTTTTTTTCCCATCCAAAGGTCACAAACTTCAAAGATAGAGGTCTATTTTAAAGACCCACAGACAGGTGTTTTCACTGTATAGGATACTCGTGAAGCCATACAACATTGCACTTGACAAACTAAGCAAACATCGAAGGTCTATGTGCACTCTTCTGTAAAATCAGCTAATAAATAAAGCGAAGTCTCATCCTAGCTATATATGAAAGTTACTGAACATGACCAGAACTAACATTAACTCCAAATATCAAATTGATGCTTCACCACAAAGATCTATACCTGTTTGAACACAGAATAGATTGGTAATCTTGATCAGATATTTCAATTCCTATACTAAGTGATTTGATGGTCTCAACTCTGGCTGAGTTATGTTGG